ACCACCACCACCACCACCACCACCACCACCACCACCACCACAACAACTACTACTACTTCTTCCCCCTGAGGCGAGGAGATACAATATTAAGTGTACATTTTGCCCTCTCCGCAAACAATACTCGGGGTAAATGATCAGGGTGTAGAATGCTGCATTTTAAGTCCATAACCTGTTTGTCAATTTGCTACCTACAACCCGCCTCACTCAGAAATGGTTCAACTTTGCGTCTTGTTTGCCATTCCAATATCTTGGCGAACATCTTGACTCATTGGAGCAGAGAAAGATATGACTAACGCTAACATTACTACTTAAACGCAATTCCTCATCATCACTCATCACCACCATTATTTCCAAAATCATAATTGCTCTCAGACCCTTGATTTACTTCTAAATTCCTCGAATCTCTGTCAGTAACAGTTACATGTTATACTAAGTATGTACGTAATACTCAATTTGACACCATCATAGGCACTTTTTACTACTAATCAGATAGCGTCAATCTCAAGTAAATGGGCAAGGGATTAGAAAAGCTATTATTACTGCTGCTGCTGCTGCTGCTGCTGCTGCTGCTGCTGCTGCTGCTGCTGCTGCTGCTGCTACTACTACTACTACTATGGTACCAGTTTAGTAAGGCTAATAATAATACGGATATTAATAATAATACAAGGCTAATTATAATAAAAATAATAAAAACAATAATGATAATAATAATAGAAAAGTGATAATAATAACAACGACAATGGTAATAACAATAAGCTTAATGATAAAATAAAAATGTAGAATTTAAAACCAAAGAAGAGAGTAATATGCGAGGTCGTTCGTAAGTGGAGATTTTTACATCAGAAGATGCCTACGCTTGCTTGCTTATCTGTCTGTGTGTCTGTGTGTCTGTGTGTCTGTCTGTCTGTATGTGTGTCTGTCCGCTGTCGGCCTGTCTGTCTGCCTGACGGCCTGCCTGTCTTACCGTCTATCTGTATGTGTGTTTATCTGAGTTCAAGAGTTCTTCCAAAAACTCACGTTTAAGTACGCGACGCTGTAATCTCACTCTTCTGTGACCTTGATATAATACGTGTATAATTTTCAATACGAGTCCTTCGGGACTCAAACTGCAGGCCAGATTGAAAGGGGCTCAAAAGCTGTCATTCTCTATGAGACTTCTGATTATAAATAGGGGTGGAATGAGGAAAATAGTAATATAAAGAAATTTAACCTACCTTGGCCGGGGAAATAACGGCTTAGGGCTGGGTTCAATTCCACGTCCTTACGATAGCGGGTCTGACATCTTAACCACTAGGCTAAGATACCTGCAGACACTTTATAAAATTAATATCCCTTGATCCCAAAATGTCTGTTAGCCTTCTTTAAAAAAAAGTAGCCTACATAACAACATGAAGAGGTGTTTTTTCCCGCCACGTAACACGTTCTCAACGAACTATAGCTAAAAAATGGGCTAATCCTTGGAGCCTGGATCTCCTCCCAACACAGTAGGAACAACAGTGACACTTGTTGCTTCCTAGAGTACTCAAATATAATGAAACAGGGAAAATCACGAACACCCAGTGCTCTTATAGTTTATAGCCTACGTTTGCCACACGGATGTGGTAAATTAGGACGCGCAAAGAGCGAGGCGAACAAGTGGAAATCCCCCTCCACCCTCCAGACGGAGAAAGTGAGTTGAGGAAGACGAGGAGAGGGATCCACGCGCACGCACGTGCGCACGCACGCACGCACGCACACGCACACACACATACACACACACATACACACGCACACACACATGCACACAAACAGACACACACAGAGAAAGAGAAAGTAATAAAGAGAGACACAAACCGGTCGAAAGAAGTATGAGTGACTGAGGAAGAGAAAGACAGAGATAGAAAAAAAAGAAAGAGAAAGACAGAGATAGAAAAAAATAAAGAGAGAGAGTGAGAGAGAGAGAGAGAG